ACAGACGTTTTGTAAAAAACGACACTGTTCTAACAGAATCTTTTGCAATTTTATAAAGGAATTCCATTTTGAATAGATTCGATGGATGAGAATACTTTCCCGAGTCAGCGGATGAATTTATCCATCGGCTGAAATTATTTGGAACCTAATGGCTTTTCTTCTCAAGCGGTAAAATGCTATGGCGTGCTTCTTAGCCAACCCAGTCCATCTAGATGAAGTTCAAACTGCCAGTGTACAGCAATGGATGCAATCCCGCTAATCCGCATTTGGACTAGTAACTATCATGACTTCCTTTAAGTTTCTTCGCTCATTCCGTGACTGGAGCCACTGGCAGCCAATCAGATACCGCAAAATTTTGACGGAAACTGAGCTTTACATAACTTCAATCCCATCTCTCTGCGTTTCGAGTCTCCAAATTTAATCAGGAGATCACTCACGCGCAAAAATGCCTCCTCATGATGATCAGCTCCACAGGAATAAGAGGAGGAAGGTGGATTCTGCGCAGGAAAATGAAGCCTCTACGGACATAACGTCTCACGGGCAACTACGCAATCTTTTAACCTTCCAACAGAATGTCAATGAGGTCAAACAAGGTCAGTACGCTATCACCATTTTGTATGTTCTGTGTAGAACCATACTCATCTAGTAACACTAGGCCTCAGGAAATTCAAAGAGTTTCTTCTTGCGACTGGGCAAGTTGAGAACGAGGGCGAAAAAGCCAAGAAATTCCGTATCCTCAAGGCCTATTGTGATTCGCAGATCTCGCATGAAGAGGAGCCTTCTTGCTTTCCAGATCTAATTCAAACCTGGAATTTTGCAGATAGTAACAATAATGAGTCCTTGCTGACTGTGGTCCCGTCCGTTTTGGCTCTTTTTATCAAGACGGTATCTACTAACCTGGATTTCCGGGACTTTGGATTGGCTCTATGCAAGTTTTTGCTGAAAAAGGAACAACTCAGGTTTTTTAACCGCGGCTTGACAGCAACGAAATCCAAGGAGCATTTGATCTCACCCTGTCTTCGTCTCCTTACTGAAATCGTCAGCTTCGACGGAGGTGCTGTTGCACGGCATGTCTACGCTGTGCGGTATATTACTTTTAAACGCATAGAAGTGTTTTTAACTCCGAACAAATCTCAATTAGAGGAGGCTTCAGATGACAGTCAGAAGTCGACTCTCCGACGGAATGCTCAACGATATGTTCTGGCAAACTTGAGGTTCCAGCATGCTAGTGCGAAGAGTGATATTATCGAACAGCACAAGGTCATCAGAGCGTTCTTGGAGTATGTAAGAAAAGATACTCGAGATACTGTTTTGGATATCATCAAGGCCATTGAGAGGGATATTATGCAAGATACTTCCCTTTCCAGGAATGCGAAGACGAAGTTTTTCAACCGAGGAAACTTGGAGAAGCTTGTGACGCTCTATGGCTACGACAGGGAGTCTGAGGAGCCCAATCCTACTGGCGTATCTATCGCCAGTGAGATCCATAAGATCCTGATGAATGTCTGCACTAACTCTAGCCATGGTGTCTTACTCTCGGAGACGAGCTGGTACCCCAACGGAAGTGACCCGGAGTCCTTGCCGGGCGAGGAAGACACATCGATCGACTTGGGACTGGATTCCGCAGTATACGTCGACAAATATCGAGAGTCTGTGCCTGTTCGTAACGGGATATTATCATACCTCGCTCAGACTCTTCGTCCAGACGCAGACAGCCTGCAGATCGAGCTTCTGGTAGCCATTTTTAAAGAAGCACCGGAGCTTGTTGCCGATTTCTTCACAAAGAAAACAATGTTTGTTTCAGACCCGAAGCCTACATCATCATGGATGGCTGAATCTGCGCTTCTTTTCTCCACAGTCAGTTTGCCTGTGCCAACGAACTTTGGTTGGAAGGATAAATTGCCTTCTATGCCGCCTCCCATATCAGTAGTGATCGAGAACATCCTACCTCGCCCGCTTACCCAGAAAACCTTAACCCGCTGCCTGAACTTAAACGCGGAGGTAATTACTTTGTTTGCGGTTCGGATTTTGACAATCTCTTTCAACAAACTGCGAAAGGTTATTCGTCTTTTTAATTCAGATCATGGTGTCAGTCAATCATTTTGGACTCAGGCCAAAGGCAAATTAATCGCGGAGTTCTGTCGTCGGTGTCCCGCAATGAAAGATGTTGTGTCACTATATAAGAAAACTGCCAAGGAGGATCTGCAGCAGCAAGAAGCTGTGGCCGAACTGCTTTCGTGTTTCTATGAAATCGTGCCTGATGTGGCATTCGAAGAAACTTTCGATGTTTCTCTCGTTTTGGTTGATATCTTGAAACGCCTGGATGAGTCAAATCCTAGCGAGGAAGACTCGGAATCGTTGCTTGCTCAGTTGGGTAGCATCCTCAAGATCGCACAGCAATCCGCATCGATGCGTTGGTGGCAAAAACCTGGTAAGTACCTCGTAAAATATCGCTCTGAGCGTTCTGCTAATATGGCTTTAGGGTCAATGCAATTCTCTGCATTCACGTCGATTCTCAAGGTTGTAGTAGGGGCATCATCTCGTGGTTCTCTCAGAGACATTGAGGTCCTGCTGAAGACTGTGCTTATCGAGAACTCGATTTTGCAAGGCCCGAGCTCCTTTATGTCACTCTTATCCAGTTTTGGGGCGTCCGACTCTGATAGCCTCCACCATCAGTTATCCTTTTTCGATAATTGTGTTTGTCGGGTAGCGAAAAAACCGGTGCACTACCAAGACCTGCTTGGGTCGCTGTGTGAGGATGTATCAAAACCAATCAGCCCTATCGTATCTGCTATTTATGAGCAGTGGCCATTTATTGTCAAGTCTGGAGGTGATGCAGAAAGTGCTATTGGTGCATGGATTGCTAAAACTCTTGGGAACTTGAAAGGCTCCGGGGAAGACTCGAAAGCGTTAAAGGCTGCCCGGGACACTTTGGTAGCAGCCACTGAGAATAAGCGCACAAAGTCGACTCTAAAGAAGGCATTGAAAGATACCGAAGACGGACCAAATCAGGATAGTAAGAGACGAGAGTCTAGTACCACACAACCGACAGCCTCACATTCGAGCAATGAGAAGTCAACCGTGGACTTGGAGGAGATATTCGGTACATTACCCACGGAAGGCACAACTCACAATGCATTGCATAGATGGGAGAAGGATGACATCGAGATCTCCGTCGAGCAAGGCAAGGTGGCAGACCTGATTCTCTGCCTGTGCTCAGAACATGAAGAAGTCAGAAGACAAGCATTCGCCAACATAACGCGATTTATGTCCAAGATTCGAGTAAGTTGATACTTTCCCTATGATGGCTAAGTGGAGAATATACATCGCTCACAATACCAGGAATCTAATTATGTCGAGTGGAGGTCGGTGTTCCTTCTCACCGGTGAACTTCTAGAGACGGTGAAGCAGATTGGTCTGGATTCGCCCGTGCCATGGATTGTGGGGGAGTGTGCTTCCAATTGCCTCGCGGTTCTCGTCAATCCAATGCATAAACTCTATGGAAAAGTCAACAAGTTCCTCCAGAAGGCACCTTCTTGGGAACCAGAGAAGATTCCATCGTATTGGATTGACAAGATCCTGTTGCACGAACCCGAACTAGATGATGGCTACTTCGAGGAGACGAATTGGCTCCTGGATCTACTTATCAAAGGCCTTCGCACAGAGACTGTAAGCCACCGTGCCATCAACCGTAGGAAACATGATTAACGAGCTTATAGGATATGGGAATCTACCGCCGCGCAAATGTATTTGAACGAGCACTGTCTTTTTATGAATCACCCGGCCCTAGCCTTCCATCCAAGCGGAAGATTTTGCACCTACTGTATCGCTCGACACAAGTCCAAGGTAGCACAACCTTGATTACCCGGGCTGGTATTGTCAGCTGGATCCAAAGCCAAATTCCAACATTGGGTGGTAAGGAGGTGCCAACTTTTACAGCCATGGCGTCCTCTTTGTATGAATCTTCGGAACAGGATCGGGTCTTGAAATGGAGTGGAGGATCTGTAGCACAGGTTGTCGAAAACATTGCAGTGTAGACGCTTAATCGTTTAGGAGAGGGTGTACATCCTTTTCTCCTCTAGACATAATGCTAGACACTTTCCCAGGGTTTCTGGGGATTTTCTCTTTTTCTTCTTTGTTTTTATCCTTTTGCTACTATTATCTAAATGTATACATATATAGTAGTAGTGTATTTATTTGGCAATCATGATGATTGTGTGGTTCCAGGTCTTAAGTTGTCATGATGATGAGTGTTATTTCATACAAATATATACGAGTGAATGAGCTTCGTTCACCAAAGCAGGGCCAGTAGCAGTAATAGGAGTGAATAGCAGTGAATGACATCTTCTATGATCACATACTAGCATTTTATAAGAGAAAATTGTGACTGTTGTGCATAAAAGAATGAGGGTCAGAAATACTAGACTATTTTGCGCTTGAGGATGCTGGTCGTTGTTGTTGTTGGGGTGCAAAGTGACTTTCCCCATTGGGCAGTCGAGTCCTAAGAGCCTGAGGCCGACGGTGGAAACAAACGTTTTGCGGCCACAAGTTCAGATCGGGCGCTCTCCGTTGAAACCACTCACCACCACAACCCCCCATCATTTACCTACTACCTACTTTCCATCGGCCGTGTCGCCCATTATTTCCCACCTTCTAATCGGCTTCCGCAACCATAGTTAGCTACATTCTCAACTGCCAGAGAAAACCCTTTTGCTTTGACAACGGAATCCCCTTTGCCCCTCATCGAGTCCCCCGAGTTGTCACCGATTGAGACTCCGCCAATCTTGCCACTAGCAAGTGGCTTTGCTTCACTGCTCCTCTCTACACCGCACCCTCCATTACACAAGGACCGTTACCCCGGACTACACACATACACGCTCTCCCCCTTCTACTCCTACGTTCCCTGCGACTTGCTCCAGCTCCCGCCTCTTGATCCTTGAGAACCAATGAGAACGTTCTAACGATCTGCCGATAACATCACACACACTTCAGCCATCCTCATGGCGCGACGTTACCAGATTGATGAGCTGTTATGGCTACGCTCGTCGCCCCTGGTTGCTAGGCCTGCGAACTTACCTCCGGTAGAAGATTGGATGGGGTAAGGGATTCTTGTGATTGCACTTATGATCCGGAGACTGACATGACCGATGTTAAACTAGTCCGATACCCGACCCAACGACGCAGAGAAAAACCACCGGCACCCGCGATCCTAATAATCCAAATGAGACGACACCTCGACGACCGAGCATCTTTGAGGCTCGTCATGTCTCCCGCAATTCGAATTCAGGTAAATATAAGAGCATTATCTTATGTGCCGGGATCGACTGTCCTATGAATTCATCGCTAACTGGGGAACTTGTTAATTCCTTGTAGAGGATATTATTCTTGGGCCACCAAAGACCGCATTTGCGTCCGCATCTCGCATACCGGGTAAGGGCTCGATAGATGCTACAGAACGGCCATCCAGACAACCTGATTCGGATGACATCAAGAATGACCGGTTAAATTTCCGCGGCAAGTTCTTCAAGGATAGGGAAGGCGGTGATAGTAATTTCGACCGACGTGACGGAAAGTCGGACCCTTTCACCCCTCGTCGTGGGGACAGAGATGACTGGAACACCGGTCGTCCCCGTCGCACCTTTGGCCAGGAAGAACAAGAGAGAAAGCCAAGACGTAACGGAGACTTTGATCGGTGGGAATCTCGTGATTTCAATCGGGACCGCGACCAACAGACTCCGAATCATGAACGGGGAGGGAAAGATAAGGATAGTCGATTCTTTCCTCGAAGAGATGGCCAGCCGGGGCGTGCCCGACATGAAGGAAGTTGGTTCCGTGATGACGGCAATCAGGACGGCCCCGAGCCTGAGGAAGAAAAGACCCCGATACGGAGCCGAGACTGGCGCAGAGACCGGCACGGTGCTGACCGGGATTGGACCCGAGGTGCCAAATTTGAACAGGATCCTGAGTGGTTGGATTCTAATGATAAGGAAGAGCCCCGAAGAGTGCACACCCAGGAAGACTTCGAACGTTGGAAAGAAAGGATGAAGGCGGGATCTTCTCAGGCTCCTGTAGAGGAGAAGAAAGAGACGCCCGCGGAATCAACTCCGGCCCAGAAGTCAGAGCCCAGACCCACAGACGGTGAAATCTTCAGCAGCAGCGGCACACCGTTCCAATCAGACACAGCCATGGAACGCTTTTTTGGGCTTCTGGGTGACTCTAAATCTCCTCAGGAAATCGCGACCTCCTCACCTTTAGAGGCCCCCATAGTCAGTCAAGCTACACCTAAGAAAGAAAATATTCCGGGGAAGCCTTTCAAATCTTCTCGTTTTGCTGGGTTGTTTAGTCCGCCCCCCGGCAGTCCGGCAAAAGAGACTGATTCGCAGCTGGAGAACAAGTCTCCTACTGTCCAGCCATCAACTACTGATGCTGACCAGGAAGGGTTTCAGCGTATTCTACAGATGCTCGGAGGGAGCAAGTCGCGCAATGCTACACCCCACAATGATACCGTGCAAGCCAATCGGCCTCCATCTCTTCCCCAAGCAGAATCTGTCCAGAGCGCTATCTCATCTCCCTCCCACGAGCAGATGAAGCGGCCAGACCCCATGCTGATTCAGGAGAGCTCTATGCGGAGTGCTGGCCCTGCTATGGATCCCCAATCCCGAGAACGGGAACATCTACTCCGCCTAATGCAGCAAGTCCGTGTCACTCCTGTTACAAATCAGGCTCAAGGTAATCATGGTCAACCACAAAGCGCCGGCGCCGCTCCTGGTATGATCAATATGCCAGAAATGCTCCCACCCCCTCCAGGGCTTGCATCTGCACCAAAGGCTCCTAACTTCATCGACGATCCCGCGATCGCTAATATGCAGCGAGCGGAACCTGATCAGCTTCGGCGACGACCCGCGAATGGGCCTCCGATGGGTTACTTTGAGGATATGCCGTTCCCTCAAGGTGGCCAAGTTCCCATCACCCCGGGTGGAAGCCGGGCTCCTCAAGGTCAAGGTCTACCTGGAATGGGCGTTCAGAGACCGCCAGGCTTTGAACACTTGCCACCTCCTGGATGGGCCGGCCACCAGCTTCCTCCACAGCAGGGCGGTGGCCCCGGTCCTCTCGCTCCTCCACCGGGAATTCCTACTCCAACACGTGGCGTCAACCCTAACTTCATGTCCAATATGATGCCAATGCATGGTAATGTTCCACCGCTCGGTGAGCGCCAACCCTTCCCACGTGGTGCAGGCAATGGATCTGCGGGATTCCCGCCTCCCCCGGGTATGATGCCTCCTCCGGGTTATATGAATGGCCCTCCGCCGTCTGGCTTCCCGCCTATGCCACCCAATGCCGAAGCCTGATGGGTCTTGGCCATGGCGGTCAAGGTCCTTTCGACGGTAACCCCGGTCCACAGGGGCCTCCACATTCTTCTCGGCACCTATTGGATATGTTTGGACAAGTCGGCGCCGGAGACGCTCGGGGTGGCATGGTAGGTCCGGGCCAGTTCAGATAAACAGACGGAGGGATATAGCCGGGCTCCTTGCTTGATACAAAACTCGTGTGGCATATGGTGGGATTGTTGCTGGCTCACCAGGCTGGTTTTTTTTGCCAAATTTGATATGTATCCCAAATTTATGTGTTGCTTTCCCTGGTGCCCTCCGTCAGTGCGTAGCAAGGACTGGCTTTGATCGATTGAAATCTCCTACCATATGCCCCGAGAGTGTCGAAGGAATGTGAATGAGGTTGCTACTGCAGCTCCATTTCTAGGCTGATTTAAATGAAAGTAATAGGTGGATTGAACAATCTTTAGTGGAGTATGTGATCTGACAGGATAGATCGTACACACTATACTTGCTTAACCAGATGACTGGATACTTGCAATCAATCTATTACATGAATGAAGGTTCCTATCCGTAAAATTCTCGCTCGCTGTATACTGAGTCTTTGATTCTGTTGGGCCAATGCAAAAGTGATTGGCTGTGAATTTCATAACTTAAGCTGTTCTGGTCAGTGAAGGGCACTCTCAAAGACTTGTCAGCTAGTGTTTCATCTTGTTCAGTGAATAGTAGGGCATGCCATTTCGCGATGCACTGCTTTACCATTTTTGCACACTATACGATTCCCTTCCACCTACAGTATAGTGCACATATAACACTTCAATATTTCGTGATCAGTATTCCACGATACAAAGTAACTATAGGTTACCATGGCGCCCAATCCAAAGGCAAGTAAAGTTTTTATTCCAACGTGTCAGCGGATCTTCAACCCCCCTTGCTCCATTTTCCCTTTTTGGTCACTTTCTACTTTATACCTACAGCTTTCACCACAGCCCTACATTCAACCAAACGAAAAAGGTAAGCTTTTCATTCTATTCATCCTATTACACTACTAGAATGTATCTCTAACAAATTAAAAGGCTAGAAACCCCACAATAAGCTATAGACGCAGGGGCGTCGACGCTTCAACTTGTAATCGACATCCACGCTTTCTGGATAATGATGGAGAAAAGAAGCCCATCCGGGGCTCAAATGGGTTAATACAAAGGGAAATGGCTAACGGATATGTTCTTCACAGCTTAGCGATATGATGGACGAGGTCGACTTCGAGCTCTGCTTGGACATCGATCAATATGTGAGTGCTTCCTCTTCCTCGAGTTCATACTCGATACACATCATACGAAATCTCGGATCCAGAGAAACCTCAATTGTTTTTTATTAATGAAGAATAACGAGAGAAAAAAACAAACCCAGCAGGCAATCGCCTCTCGCTGTGAGTCAAAGCGACTATCCACCCAGTCCGCCACAGACTCAACCAAGCACGAGAACGTCCAAACAGCGACATTCGCCAACCCCAAAGTCCGCAAGCACGGGGAACTAGACTCAGCCTCTGGCATTGACGAGAATATCACCCCAGAACAGCCTCACCACCCCCGACCATGCAAGAAGCTCAAAACTCTGAATCATTCCGAGTCAGACCTCGAGGATGACCATGATCGCACCTATCTCGACATCGCAATCAAGCGCACCACCCACCACGACCAAGAGATACTCTCCGACGCCGATGACACCGACCCAGAAACCCACAGCTCAACCAGCGCCTCGACCACGGCCATCAACGAAGAAGAGATGGATCTGGACACCGACACGGATGCTGAAGTCCACGCCAACTCGAGCAGTGACGACATAGGCATAAGCCCGGTTTACTCCTACATCGCTCGTCCCTCCCATTTCTTCGAGATCTACGAGGACCTGGATGACTCGCATCTGGAGAACCACCCCGGTTTCATGTCCAGTTTTACTACCTATTCCTCTCACGATGAAGATAAGGAGAACATCCGCGACAACCACCACGAGCAGACACAGGAAATGGGAGTCAGTTCGCAGATGTGGATTCGTCAATCTTCTAATCGTGTCTCGCATATGGTTAGTTCTAGGTACCAGGGGGTTGATGGGGGTGTGGACACGGATGAGGCGGACACTGATGTTGAAGATTTTTTGACGGAGGGTGGAGAGGGCACGAGGGAGGGTGAGATGGAGGAGGTGAGGGTGTCGTTTCATTCGTTGGGTGCTGGAGAGGCTCCGTTGCTTCCTCTTGCTTTCCCGCTGCCTTTGAGGATCCCTTCTCCTGCCTTGGTTCAGGGCGGTAGGGCTGATGGCCGGCGTCGTTGCTTGGGGCCTAGGCCTGTTGTGCACTTTGAGTGATTACTGATGTGTGAAATGCTTCGTTTCCCGGGCAGTTCTTGTACAAAATCTCTTGTATTAGCTTTCTCTTTTGTCTCCTTTATTCCGTCGCCCGCGGATTTTATGTACTGTACTTTTATTCCTGGTGTTGTGTGGTTTGTTTCTTCTCTTCAAATGGCCTTTGTGTCTCAGATTGATTTACTGATGGGAAACGAAACGTTCCGTTGAGCATACTCATGTCGGGTGAATATCAGGTTGTTCTGACTCAAAATGGTATTGTACAGCCTTGACTGCCTTACTGTATTTAAAACATTGTCTATTTCTGCTAATACGTCCATTTCTTACTATCCTTTTGTTCAGTAATGACAACTGGCCAATTTAAAAGATATCTTCGAGATGAATCAAGAAATAGCCAATGAGATGGACTATGATCCAATGTATTCAGAGTCAGCTTGATTATTATCGAATGGTCGCAACAAATTTCCAGATAAAGTAGTAATAGTATTGAAAAACCAAGCTCCCCCTACACAATATGCCCCTTCAACGGATCGAGTTGAATGAAAAAGCCCATCCAGACTCTTAGACTGAATCATCATAGCCCTCTAGATTGGCACATCCCAAATGCCGTTTGCCATGGAGACAAATATTGTTCTATCGGAGACATAGTCACCCTCTGGTGGCCTTGGTCCAGATGGGATTTTGATGATCATTTCGTCAGGTGTCTGCGTCGTATGTGATTCGGCACTTACAGCCGAATATACCTCGATTTCTGTATTGATCTTTCGACGATTTCAGGAGCGACACTGGTCACTAGTAAGTAAAAACCCTCATTGCCTTGCTTGATCTCCTCCAAAAGACGCTTCTTTATTCCGGCTGCTGCCGTGGTTCCGACTATTTGCGAGGTATTCGCTGGCAGTGTGTGTGTGGATAGACATGATTGGGTGATTATTTTCCTTTGTAGAGATCGTTCGACGTGATGGCAATGTCATATTGTTGGTATCTCTGTCTACGAGATGGATGTAGACATCTTTCAGGTTTTGAAGGGCTGATTAGGTTCCCGTGATGTCCGCGATGTCACTTTTCGTTAATCATGCACTATCAATATCAAAAGGATATGGCAGGAGTATATAAAATTCTATGTATGTGTTTACGCTATGAAGCTGTTCAGTAAACAGAAGTGGAGATTGAGAGGGCTGTAGGGGATGGACGGGGTAGTTGAAGGTCAGTAAGAAGTGGTTTATATAGGTCCAAGAGTTAAGAAGAAATTGAATGGGTGGGTTTAGATGGAATGCAAGAGTATAGATGGGATTTGAAGTGAAAGGAATATGTGAATGTTATTGTAAGGTTGGAGTAGAGTATGAAGATGAGACACAGTAGTTGAAGATTTGTAATAAGTGATTTCTATGTCTAAGAGTTGAGAAGAGACTAAATGTATGTCACTATATAGACTTTGATTTTCTAGAATCAACGTGACCTTCCCTATTTGATGAGGGCGCTCAGGGGGTCGCTCATTGAGTATTTCTCGCAACTCTAGCGGCCGGAGCTCCCTGCATTGATGTCACTGGCTCGATTGACCGAAGATACACACACATAGGTACTAGTCTCGTCTCCCCACAAGTTGACGCCCGGTGCTTGCCGCCCATCGGCCCTGTAGAGAGAGAGTTTCGCATGGACTAGCTTTCTACAATGGAGAGTCACCAGTAACCAACTCGGAGTAAATAACAGTATCTGCTGCCTATTCGGACACAAACAACCTCGCTATCTCGTCAGCCGTTTTCCTAACATGCGTCCATATAAGCCCTTTAGTCGTATGTTCGGGGTATACTCAAAGGAATCTTACAGAGCTTGATTAGCCGGATAATTAATACTATTTAAAGTATCCTGGTCTCTCGTCTTTAGTAAAGTATGGACTTCAGGGCCTTCCTAATTACGCTACTTTTTATTTATTGGAGAACTGTATGTTCTAATCCGGACCAGCGAACTGAATTATCTCTCGGGACTCGGGAGGCCCTTATGTGGCCTACTTACAGGATGGAGTCGCATGAGGCCTTGACTAGATCACGTCCAGTCCTTATCTGTCTGGAAGGCAGCTTGCTTGAAAGTGTTGGACCTATTCTACTGTATTTTGTGCTTTGGAATACATAGGATACTGCATACAGAGTATACTAGGTGTTAGTTCTTGAGACGCGACTATGAAACGAGGATCATGGCGTTACCTACGTAGGAAGTTCCTGCCTGAGGCACGAACGGCATCTACACTACACTTGTCGACATACTTTACCGATAAAGTATTGTTTATAAAGTATGAGCAACGCTTCAAAGAGATAGAAGTATGCACCCTCCCTTCCATCACATCGAAGGGGCGAGCCGCATTGCTCATGTCGATGTAATGTCCATAGCTTTCCTATGCGTACTCCTCTACTTAGTCGGTGCTCGATAGAGGGTTAGACAAAAACACGTCTCTCTAGCCGCGTTGTGCTGGTCTCCAGGGATAGAAAGTCAGATTGATCCTTGAATTCCTTGATCATTTGTTGTAGAGTGGCCGCAATGGCTTGCTGTGGTCGTTGATAGTGACTTTGGCCAAGGCCAGCCCCTCCTTTGCTCCTAACCGCGCCGCTGGACTGACACCTGTTCTCTTTCTTATTTCCTCGTTGCTCAAAGAATAGTGGCTCAAATAATACGATGCATTGGGAATACACGACTCTCTACTCCAGAACCCCCCGCTCCTTCATCTTCGCCGTCGTCGCAAATGTCGGCCCCGGCGGCGCCAGCCGCTCCCTGGCCGTGGCCTACCGCCAGCACCACGACGAACACAACATGGCCTCATCCTGGCCCCGAGTGCACCATATGGTAACTGACACCCTCGCGTTGATCGACGTTCTTTCGGATCCCGCGAACCGCGCGCCGCTAGAGGCGGAGAGAGCGCTCGCGCAGGACTGGTATCGTCGGTCTCCGGGGCACCACGAGCCTCCGCTGCATGAGCGGCCCAGCGTGCCCGATACCGCGCAGCCACCGTTCGTGCCCTGGAACCGACGTCGGGAGCCAGTGCAACAGCAGCCCCCGCTGCCGTGGCGTGATGATGGCCTCAGCCAGTTTCCCTTCACCGCGACCTGCGTTTTGCTGGCGTTGTTGCGCGACGATCGTCCTGCTGACGCCACCCGCCCCAGCGACGTCCAGTTCCAGCCCCTATCAACGGTATTTCGGGCGGACTGCACTGAATATGGCCTGGTCGTCGTTGACATCTCCGACCTCGACAGTGGTGTCAAGTACGGCATTGTTGCATTTCCCCTGGACTACATGGCTGAGGTTCAGTCCCGCGACAAGTGCTTCGGCTGGGATCCTGTCGAAGACCCCCAGCCGGAAAAGGAGCCGGATGTTATACTTGTGAGCCCGCGGCCTCGAGTGCTGTTATCGATTTCTCAGTGGGCAGGGAAGTATTACAGATGGTCGGGCCTGGAAGACCACCCCAGTATCCTCCGACTGGAGGAGAAGCCGCTGGCTGATGCTGCAGCCTTGGATTGTACGTCTGTTCACGCTAGTGGGATCCGGAAGGTTTTGCAGGTACTAACGAGGAATGGTAGACATCTGGCCGCCGGAGCTGGAGGCTCCGGCTCAAGCATCTTCAAAAGGTGTTCTCTCTCGCATTTTGAAATGTTCTGTCCCATTTAAACCCATATCGACCGCATTTGCTAACCTCCGACAGACTTCACACCGTCAAATAAAGCCAGGTCCACACCCAGATCCATGGTAGGCTACACTATAGTAGACGAACCGCCGCGACATGGGTCCATGGACCGCGCAAAAGAGGATAGATCGACCAGGAGAGCCTCGAGCGTGACCATATTAGAAGGACCGCCACAAACTGTCCCAGTTGATATAGACCGCACTATTGATGATCTGCTGCTTCTCACCCAGGAGCCCGTGTCCCCTCGCCTCGAGAAACAAGCGCTTGCTCACCTTCAAATGCTGGTCCCGTTTAGCGAGAGGCTGCGGCAGCGACTCGAAGAGGTGCCTAACAAGCTCGGTCCCTCCACGATCTCCAGCCATATTCTGCGCGTGGCATACACTGAACGCAGTCACCTCAACTGGGTGTCGTTTGGCAACCTGCCGCCTCGCGTGATTGCGGCCGCTGTTACATCAGATGAGCTTCGGGGTGCATCTGCGCTCAGCCTCTGCGTCGATGCATGGGCGGGAGATGAGGAAGAGGGAGAGTCAGACCTCGTTGATCCTGCTGTGGCCCTGGCGCAGTCCACAGGCCTGCAGCAGCTCTGCTTCTTGCATCAACCGGACCGGGCTCACGATGAGGTCTCGGCTCGTTTCTGCTCGCAGCTGCTGCGGCTGTGGGGGAGGGCATCAGAAGAAGACTGGGAGTGGCTCCGGCCGAAAACCATCCATTCGACCTCTGTATTCTTAACTGGTTTACGCCGTCGCAGATTTCTCACATCGTCCTCGACGATACGATCGGATTCTAGCTTTACCTTAGGCGCACAAGTCTTTCCCATGATCCACCTGTTCACGTTTCTGGGTCCCCTGCGCAAGGACATCCCAGACGCAACCGCAGACCGCCACGTCTACTGTGCTCGTCCTGGGTACAGCAGCTACTACTCGATAGACAATATCGGGTTAACCGCCGAGGTCTTCGCCATCCGATTCTTAGGATACCTGCGGGCGTTGGGTCCGTATTCAGATCCCGACAAGGCCATCTTGCGAGTGGCATATCATGGGGCTTTCTCGTCGCTCGCTTCCATGGACGACGACAGCGAGCAACACCGCCGCAAGCACGGCTGGTCTCCGCCCCGGAGACCGCTGCCACCATCGCCGCTCCGGTCATCGCCAGATCCATTGGGCGTGAGACCCATCCCCGCCGGATTTTTCGACGACGAGCTCGCCCCTGACGACCCGTCCAAAGTTCGACTCGGGGATATCCCCCCTGGGGACTGGGTTGTTCTTGTGGATCGACGAGACCGCAGTTGCCGGGCTAGCGACGACACCACCTTCTTACAATACTCTTTTATGAGAATCCGTCAGCCCTGTGTTAAATTTTCGTCCGAAAAGCAATCTAGCTCAGTCGAGATGGTCGGCGGGCTGATCGACTTCCTGCGGGAAACTGTGCCAGGGACTAATATTGCCATGTGGGAGAGACGTGTCGATGAGGTAGAGAACGATTTGGTTTCCGCTTTAATGAGGCCGAGCCCATCCAGCACCCCGTCATCGGTTGATGTGCCGACGATGCTAGAACGGGTGAACAAGTCGTTCAGGCGTTTGGCCGAAGCCTCAGCTGAGACGAGCGCATCCAGCACCCTACGAGAGAGTGATATTTCCGATGGGGAGGAACTGGTCGTGGAAGTGGAGAAAGAACCCTGCATTGACGTCGGTGTCATGGCTGAGAGTCGGGCCTACACTTTGCTGGATAAGTTAGTGTGAGAGCATGCAATTGTATTTATAGTACGCTCGCAAGAGTGGACTGCGAGTGAAGAAGCGGGCAAAGGGGTGATAAGTAGTTGGGGTGCAGTTTATTGAGGTTACTCGCTCAGGGCACTCAGTCTCCCGCTCACCCCGTGCTCAGTGATCGCCTCAGGCTGCTCAGAGCGTGCTCAGATCCACTCAGTGAGCAAAAAGCGGCGAAGGGTGAGCACTAAAACGGAAAGAGTAGGCCATCGACCCTCCTAGAAAATCAAGTACATATATGTTTAACGGGAAGAAAGGACATAGATGGGATATGAAATGAAAGGAATATGAGAAAGTAAGTGAGGTTTATAGTATTAGACAAGGTATCATAAAGTGAATAATCTAAGACGGCACCGAAAAACACTGATTAAAAGCAGCTAGTGAAGTGACGCCGTACTATGTGAATAAAACATGTATGGTTAAATGGGAATCTCTTTTAAGGCGAACACCAAAATGTGAAAGAGTAGTGGAAGAAAAGGTTGCAAATAACGCAAGATGATCTCCTCTCAAGTGATCGGTGCTAACTGCCGTTCGTTGCGTCGACAGTCCGCCCGAGATCGCTGGTCAATGAGTATACGGACAGATCTGAGAAGCTCTCGTGGGTTGGAGCGGGTAGATTCCTCTTGGCTATCGGCTGTGTGGCACGCCTTCCAACACAGCTGTCGGGTGGAAGGTGGACAGGAGACATCAGATCGCGAGTCTGCCCGGGAAAGAGGCCCTTGTCAAGGTCACTTTGCCACAGCCTGCGTGACGCATCGAATGCCTTGTTGACTAGTCCTCGCCGAAGCTCTTCATATTCTTCAAACAATGTGATCAGCTGGCACTCGGGGTTCTGAGCCAAGAGTTTGGAAAATATGATCGCGTCCTCTACAGCATACGCCGCCGATTCATCGCGCGGAGGCATCTGTATTTGTATTAGTTTTTGTGACGAACACAATGCCGTTGGAAATGAAGAAACTTACAGCGTGCGCGGCATCGCCGAGTAAAAGTATCCGATCCATGTGCCATTTCCCTCGTTGGCGAACCTGATACACAGGGTATAGCATCCAATCCTCGGTTCGGTCAATGATCTCGCGGATGTATGGTAGGCTTGACATGCCGAACTGCGCCCGGACCAGGTAACGCATTGACATCCGCATGTTCTTCTGTGCCGCCAGGTCCGTTCCCGACATTGCTTGGTATTTCTCAATCAGGTGTTCGCTCACGCGGACGACTGCCGCCACAAAGAGTTTCTCATGTTTTGTGTCGCAGTAGCTCGTCAGGAGCGAGCTATGCCGGGCGAGGTGTACCGCGGTTTGAGTGAAGGGCATCGATGCGGAAAAGTTCCGGGCGTCGGCCATGCTTTGTATGAAAGAGACACCGGTATATTCAGATCGGTTGCCGGGATCTACGATTTTTGTCCGTGTCGCCGAGTGAACTCCATCGCATCCCAAAACCAAGTCCCCTGTGGCGGTTGAACCATCTTCGAAGTGCAATGTGACGTTCTCCGGCGTTGTGCTTCCTCCAACGAGCTTTTTATCGTAGTGAACCGACACATTCCGCAGCTTGCGAGCCACTGCCAGCATGGCTTCCGACAAGGCGCTGCGCAACACCCGACGACCCTTATAACCACCGTAACCATGTCCGTTCTCGTCGGTAAATCGGAGGGGGCCCAAACGGCGACCGGAACGCACGGAAAATAGATCAATGGCATCCACCTCAATGCCAGCCTGGTCGCCCATCAGATTCAACTCGGCTAAGACCCCTAACTCGTCGAGATACCTCTGAGCGACCGGTGTCAAACTGATAGCGCCGCCGGACGTGGTGAGCTCAGATGCGCCATCGTATACTGTGATTTTCAATCCAGGAACAACGGGGGCGAGCTCGTTGGAGAGGGCAATGGCACTGGCGAGACCAGCAACGCCAGCACCGACGACGAGAATATCGCTCGGCATTGTGGGGAACCCGCTGTTGCTTCGTTCTTTGCTTGTAGAGGCCGACAGACACACTGTCGTCGGAAAGTGGTAGGAAAAGAGAGGTTCAGAGCGAGGATAAATCGGTCGGAGAGGTCACACAGGGGCAGTGATTTGCCCTGTGGTTCGGTTCATGATGTTTCGTTTGTATGCACATCGTTACACTGGTCAATGGTTTAGTGTCCAATTAATTAAATTTTTTACCCTCTTTTTAAATTTTTTTTTTTACTTTGCTTTCTTTTTTTTGCCGCCGTTTCCATCTTTTCCCATTCCGGATTGGGATGTCTCCGTGTCCGGCCGAGAGCTCTGTTAATTCGGACGGTCGGTTAAACGATGCCGGCTAGCAGAGCCAATCAAGCGTTCACATTGCCCCCCCCTCAAATGTCATGTCCAACGTGAAGAAGTTGCGTTCCATGGATCCCCTGAAAGCTTCTCTGATTGGCAGCCCCCGGCATAAGCTTATAGCGCCCGGGGGGCAAAAATAGACGGGCCTAGACATACAATTTCCTTTCTTCACGGAACCGGCCGATCATTTTGATCTATATCTCACCTATTAAGCATCATGTGGTCTTAGTATTGGCAGGAGGCATCTGGAGAACGAAGCGTTGGGAACTGTAGCCATTTGCATTAGGGATTATTCATCATGATCCAGGATCGCTACCGTTAATACACTACATGATATGTACAGAAAGTCACACTTGCCGAGGCACGAGTGTGTTTTTAGAAAATGACTCCCCTGTGGCATCCGAAACTCTCAACAGCAAAATTTTAGTCATCGTTCAGGGTGTATTTCCATATTCCATTCGGTAGCAGCGCTTGCCGCAATGTCTCCAGCTTCTTTTTCAACATGACTGTCTCCGTCTCCAACTCCCCGATATAATTAACAGCATCGGTCAGAACTGCCATCTTCTTAGAAGCATGTTTCCTTTGGCAGTAGAAGCGGGGCCTGCCACTTCCAACCCCTCGCGTGTAATAGCCTTGCAGAGACGACTCCAATGCAGCAAAATTCTTACTGAGATTCTCCCGGTAGCGTTTTTCAATTCTGTTATGTGCTGAGCGCCGGGATGAAGGATGCACTGGACCTTCATGAGGAGTGGAACTGGGCGAACCAGATGGGGAAGATGGAGGCGGCGATAACGAGGCGACGGTTGAGCTCGAGGCAGTGCAATGAGATTGCGGGAGCGAGGTCCGAGGTATAGAGGAGTGTTTCGATGTGTTCTGTATTGAATCTTCTTTGAGTGGCGGTAGCACGGGCGCGTCCTCAAACTGGCTGGGTACGGCGAATGAGTGCTTCGAAGATGTCCAATTCTCGTACGCTTCCCACGGGAGAAGGTCTGCGGAAGATGGTACGGAAGATGGAGACCATTGTGGCAAGTAGCAGGGAGAATCGAGAGCATCTTGAGAATTCGGCTGCATAATCATTAGATCATGGACTGACTAGATGACGGGGTGTCTTTTCCTCAGGGTACTTACTCGTCGATGAGGGTTGGCGGGCACTGGCTGAATGATCGTACCAAACGTAGACATCGGCGCCACCTCGGCATCTACGCCAATTAAATTATCCCATGCATAGGGAAGATCTTGGTACTGGAGTTTCCACAGATGTGCTGAAGTTGCGGGCATTTTGCGTTGGGTTGGACCAGCGGATAGTTGGGGTTACCGAACCAAAGGAGAGAGGGTTCAACAGCTTTAAATAAACCCGAGGCGTTTCGGAATGGGTGCCACAGCTATCTAGGATGGAGAGGATTGTGCCATGAGTTAGACAGGTCAACACTAGGATTTATCTCCGACATTAGGGACTTTTATTTTCTTTTCGTGCGATCCTTGTAGAAAATGACCTCATGCGACGCTGTCTGGACCGCGAAACTTTGCGCTCGGCTCCGACTCGGCATTCGCAGGGTTTCGGTGCTTAAGCCTCTTTTCGTCCCCGTTAACCCTAAGCTACAAATTAAATTCATGGCATTGAAGCCTCGTACAAGATTGATTGCTGAGTAGCTGACACTTGCTTCAGTAAGGAGAATGGCAGGTTGCTTTGCGGTGTCGTTATGCGGCTGTTCTGCGAACCTCCATTTCTCCGATATAATTTTCCTACCTGGTCATTACTCTAACCCCACTCTATCATAATATTGTGCTGGTGACCCCTGGCGGAGCTATGATTATTATTCAAAAGTGGGTAGGACAAATGAGAGACATGATAATAATATGTAATAAGGGAATAGATGAATAAATAAGTAGATAAAAAGTACGCTCTTCTGGGGGGGACCGACTAGGAGTGAAACGCTGCATTGCAACCATCCACTATGCCCACTAGCGCTGTCACTGATAAGGGTGGCAAGATGACCCCTGTCGAACATTCTTTTCTAGCGCGAGCGATTGTATATTCTAGATTGATGGCCAGATCAACGGGCGATCATCTTTGCAGCGAAAAGCATGGGAGTATTGTTCAGGCTAGTCCATCCATTGGCTGCAGATCGCCCAGTTTGCTGGTCTGTGTTCCTTGACACTTTGCGGAGAACAGACCACAATATCTGTTGAACACGTTGCAGGACTTTTGTCGAATCGCTCGGTGCTTGTACATCAAAATATGAACCCGTTCAGGGTACTGCGAAAAGGCTTCGAGTAACCGTCTGAGATTATCATGATGTCAACCCACATTGTGCGACATTTCCGGAGCGACAAGCTATAGGCTCGGAATTGACTAAATGCTTGTTTAGGGAGGGACATGATCCTTCGCCCCGTGCATGGCGTCATGAATGATCGCTATTAGTGAAGATCCTAATTATCAGTTAAAAATGGTCAAAGAAGGAAGAGTCAAAACGAAATTGAGTTTGTCTCTTAGCGGTGTGCTTCGCCCACGTGCGCAGCGCACGAGAAATGAGGGGTTCTTTCTTTTTAGGCAACTGAACTCAACAATACCCCTCGCCCTTTTTTATATTAATATTTTTTTTTCTCCATTTGACTTCTTTCCAAGAATTTTTCGCACTCAATCTCATTTACACTACGACTGTCGCAATGAACGTCTTCCAAGAACAGCGAGGAATGATCTCTCTTTTCGCCTCCGAAGGCCAAAGAGAGGGAGCCATTATTGCCGTCATCCTCGAGGAACTCAAGTGGGTCCCCTGAACCATAACAATCCCTATGAATCCTGGCTGATTGCCTCTGTTTCAGACTCCCCTATCGCCTTCATCTGGTCGAAAAGCCAGAAGATATTGATGCGAAAAGTCTCCCGGTGCTCAGGAACATTCAAAGCGACGGCGAGTCCGTCGATCGTTCCGGGTTCCACGAGGTTGTGTCGTACCTGATTGCGCGCTATGACACAGCTCATGAAGTGTCTTATAAGAAGGGCTCCAAGGAGGATGATGAGGTCAACAAATTCGTTGCATCCTTAACTGAGCCCAATGCAGCCCATCCAGAAGAGCACCGCTTCGATCTCGATGCAAAGGATGGCATCCCCTTCGCCAGAAAGGCTATCAGTCTGTATCTTCACCTTGAGCAGCATCTGCAGAAGTCGCACAGTAACTACCTGGTGGGCAAGAAATGGTGCGCTATCTCGTTATACACCCCTTTGGTATCGCGTCCATATAAAGCTAACCATGTGCAGCACCCTTGCGGATCTCCTCCACCTCCCCTACGTGGCTGCCGCAGGCTCAGCTGGTCTCGACCTTGAGAGGTTCCCGGAGCTGACAATATGGTACGATCGGGTTTATCAGCGTCCGGCAGTGCAGAAAGGCTTCAATGCTGTTCATCTAAAGATCCGCGGATAGAATAGCCCTTCTATCACCAATTGACTACGCCATTGGTCAGGACAGCTGACAGAGATTGAAGCGATGTGTGATGGACTTGTCGCTCCTTTAATTCCTTAATTGTATCCACTGTTCATGTTTCCTGTATAGAGTAGTGTATGTTATAGATATATACTGGGTTGTTATAGATCAGCGATTTGTACATTCCATCGGCTCCAATTCTAGACCACTGATAATTTCCGTCAACGAAAACAAAATTGCTCGGCAAGTCAATAAGTACTTTCTCAACACCCTGCAATATGATCGTACGTTACAGATATGCTCGTGTGAGACGCACCTCAACCACCCAAGAGTCTAGAATCACGCTGCATGCATGAATGGTTGCGGAGCAATATCCACCCTATAAAAATAGTAAATGCGGGGAGAAGGCATGTGACCTCGGTTGGCTCTTATGTAGCATAAAGTAATCATAATGATGATATCACCGTCGGATTCGCTGGTTCTTGAGTAAAATATGACAGAATTCACTTGGCTTCCCTACGTGGCCAACTGTGGTCAGCCAAAGAGATTCTGCAACCGAATGCCAGTTGCCCTCGCCATGTGTCCAATCGCCTGACACTCGCCTCACTGGTCGGGACACCCGTGCTTTCCCGTACGGTCGTACGAGATCTTCCGTTCGTCTGATTCACTTTATAGATAAATGCAAAGCCCCAAGCAGCTACAATGCTGGATCATATAGCCGCCCTAGACTGACTATCAATCTACTACTACATATCATTCAGCATGTGTATCGCCTTTTTTTTCCACCGCTCATCCGCAATATCACCTCATCATCTGCAACAACCGAGATGTACGTATTCCACACGCTTCATAGACCATGGTAACATCTAACACTGACCACATCACAGGAATTCCTTCACCGGCCAACATCCCGTGCAGGCTGGTGGCCATCCCCTCATTCCCACGTCCTCAGCGCCCGAGATCTTGTGCGCCCCATCCATCCCACCTGGCTGGGTATCACAAAACAAGGCCGCGTTGCTGTGCTAACAAACTACCATGAAGACACCTGCGCAAAAGCTGTTGGGAAATACAGCCGCGGTGAGGTCGTCAACAGCTGGCTCGCATCACCGCCGGATAGCGCGCAAACCACGCAAGAGTTCGTGAACCAATGGACCGCCAACGGGGAGTTAGCAAATATCGGTGGATTTAACCTCGTTTGTGGAAATGTTATGGAGCCGCTCGCGATTATGGCCAGCCGGGCGTCGGAGACAGAGCCGATCCCTTGGATCGCGGACAAACCGGGCCAAACGGTCGGGTTAAGCAATACGGACTACGATGATCGGTCTTGGCCAAAGGTTGAGCAGGGAGAAGACGCGCTTGTTGATGCGATTGCGGGGCATGTACAGAATCAAGAAAGCGAGGATGCTTTGATTGAGAGGCTGTTGGATGTGCTTAGTCTGGATACGCTACCTCGATTGAACAACAATGCGGGTGTCCAGGAATACATCCCGCATCTTTCGCAGAGTGTTTTTATTCCACCTATCGGCTGTGACAAACAGGCGCGGGATGAAGCAGAGCTACCAGCCAGGCAAGACAAGAGGGAGGAGAGTCCAGTCCTACCGTCTACTCCCGAGGGGACGCCCAATCGTGCATATCTGGAAGGTCTGTATGCGACACAGAAGCAGACGGTCATCTTGGTGGGGTTCGATGGGCGAGTCCGATTCTTTGAACGTACATTGTACGACGATGATGCTCAGCCAGTCTCTACAGAGGCTCGCGACCGGTCATTTGAGTTCCGAATTGAAAAGTAAACGCCATACCAGGAGTTTCGGTTTCACGCGATTCTAGTTCGTCCATGTATATCTAGAGGGCATTGTGGCGTTTTGGGGACATATCTCTCAAATCATAAAGTCTAATGATCCAGTGTATTGGTCCAACGGTCATACAATAGTTTCTATCGGAGCTTTAATTTGTGGGCTCAATTCCCACGTCAATGGTATCACGCCGTCGGTCACGTTGTCTTCATTTCGGACATAGGAATCCATCGGCATCCCGATACCCCATGACGCGGCGAGCTTAGATTAGAGTCGCATGTTGTGTGGGTTCATTGTGGAATACTGATTGACACCAAAGGGCAATAGTCTATGCGGCATGCCCCATGACATGGGTGATTACTGTCGTTATCAGTGTAGCATTCGTCCCAGAATTTAGCGTTCTTCCGGGTTCCTTATTTGTCAGTAATATAGCGCCAGCTGTGGTACTTTTGTCGCACACGATCTTCCGTAATAAGTCGAAGGATCAATGCCCAGATCGAGGGGTCCAGACAAATGACAAGGTTTTGTAGACAATTGGGGTTCCGGAATGGTTCGGAGGTCCCCGTCCGCAGCTACACTAATGATTATCTTCCACGCAGCCACGCCGTTCCTGATCCCCTGTCATGTTGTTTTCCTTTTTCTTGATTTAGTGTGGCAAATTGCGTTGTGATCCCCACTGAGTACTAGTAACAGGTGAATGCGAACACTTGGGTGGTTCAACTATCACAAACAGGACAATGATTAGCTTAGGCATCTTTCATTCATTCCCTTGTGACCCTTGTCCTACGTCTGCCATTGCCCGAGTACCACATCGGACCATATTGGCCTGTGAGAACAAAGGGAATCCCACTGCCATCAGCCCATCACGGGATGTGAGATTGGGGACAGGAGTATGCGGAGATTTCATTTCTTACCTTGTTTTCCATCCCAGATAAAGTCAGTTCTCTTGCTTCCTCCAAGGAACTGTTGTCCAATTTATCACAACATCACCGTACTCGTATCAACATCACTCACGTCTATAGTTTGTTGTGATCTTTGACTAATTCACACCATGACAAACTCCATACTAGATAGTTACTCTTCAAGACGCAAACCCCGCCGCATTGGCATCCTGACATCAGGAGGGGATGCTCCGGGGATGAATGGAGCAATCCGCGCAGTCGTCCGCACAGCAATCCAGAACGGCTGCGAAGCATGGGCAATCCACGAAGGCTACGAGGGACTCATTCAAGGCGGTGCAATGATGCATCCTCTGTACTGGGAAGACGTTCGGGGCTTCCTATCGCGTGGAGGGACACTCATTGGCTCCGTGCGCTGTGATCGTTTCCGCGAACGGGAAGGTCGTCTCCAGGCTGCGAGAAACATGGTGCTTTTCGGCATTGACGCCCTAGTCGTCTGTGGTGGAGACGGAAGTTTGACCGGGGCAGACCTCTTTCGGTCGGAATGGCCAGAGTTACTCAATGAGCTGGTCTCAACAGGTGTTTTGACTGTGGCACAAGTCGCACCCCATCAGAACTTGAACATTGTTGGACTGCTCGGCTCTATCGACAATGACTTTTCCGGCACGGATGCCACCATTGGATGCTATTCTGCGTTAACACGAATTTGTGAGGCGGTCGATGCAGTGTTTGATACGGCATCCTCTCATCGCCGAGGCTTCGTCGTCGAAGTTATGGGCCGACACTGTGGCTGGTTAGCGTTGATGGCTGCCATCGCAACTGGGGCAGATTGGTTGTTTATCCCGGAGAGGCCTCCACGCGATGGTTGGGAAGATGATATGTGCTCGATAATTACCAAGGTACTACCATCCTTACACTTTCTCCTGCTACGTCCACTTTGACAGGCTGACGTACTAACACATCAATACTAGAATCGCAACCGTGGAAAACGTCGTACTATCGTTATTTTGGCGGAAGGAGCCCAGGACAGCAACTTGGATCGCATTACGTCGTCTGCCGTGAAAAATGTTCTGAGCAAGCGTCTAGGGCTCGATACCCGCGTCACCGTTCTGGGGCACATCCAACGAGGCGGATCCCCATGTGCATACGACCGCTGGCTGTCAACGTTACAAGGCATCCACGCCGTCAAAGCAGTGCTGTCTATGACTCCTGACTCGCCCTCTCCGGTGGTGATTATCCAGGAAAATAGAATCAAAAGCTCGTCTCTGGCTGAAACTGTTGCGCTAACAAAGGAGGCTAATGCCAGTATGCATGCCAAAGAGTTTGAGAAAGCAACAACACTTCGGGACCCCGAATTTATGGAATACCATAGCGCGTACCGACGTCTGAACACCAGTGCTCATCCTAAAATGGTCTTGCCCGAAAATAAGGTATGCTATTCCTAACCTTAATTATGCACGAATTGAGCCTAATGTAGACTTCAGCGCATGCGAGTTGCTATTATTCACGTCGGTGCCCCAGCTGCAGGCATGAATCCAGCCACGCGCGCAGCAGTCGCCTATTGTTTAACCAGAGGACACACCCCGATCGCCATTCACAATGGTTTCCCTGGTCTCTGTCGGCATCATGACGATACCCCTGGCTCGGTTCGTGAAATGCATTGGTTGGAGTCTGGTGACTGGATCAACGATGGCGGGTCTGACCTTGGTACCAATGCGGGACTACCGTTAGACGATATCGAAACGACAGCTCAATGCTTTGAGCGGTACAAGTTCGATGCGCTCTTCGTTATAGGAGGCTTCGAAGCGTTTACAGCTGTCAGCCAACTGCGCAAGGCGCGTGAGCAATATCCTGCTTTCCGGATTCCACTTGTCCTGCTCCCAGCAAGCATGTCAAATAATGTCCCTGGCACGGAGTATTCCCTTGGAAGCGACACCAGCCTCAACACCCTTGTTTATTTCTGCGATGTTGTCCGGCAATCTGCGTCCTCGTCCGGGCACAGCGTGTTTGTTGTTGAAGCGCAAGGAGCCGAGTACCAGGCGACAGCTGCTGCGCTGGCCGCGGGAGCGATGACCGTGTATACGCCTGATCGAGGAATAACTCTCCAGAGCCTCTCTAGCGACATTGAGTACCTCCGCCAACAGTTCTCAAAGGATCACGGTGCCAATCGTTCGGGCAAGCTGATCATCCGCAATGACCAGACGTCCACCATATACAGTACAGCAGAGATCGCAAATATTATCAAACACGAAGCCAAGAATCGCTTTGATGCGCAGGGCGTGGTGCCAGGGCACTTCCAGCAGGGTGGCAAAGTCTCACCCATCGACCGTATTCGCGCGTTTCGGTTAGCCGTCAAGTGCATGGAACATCTAGAAACATTCACAGACCAGTCGCCGGATGAGATCATGAACGATGAAAACTCAGCTACGGTAATCAGCATCAAGCAGTCTCGTATCCTTCTGCTGCCGATGGGAGGTCCCACCGGAGTTGAA